TTATTTAAGTGAATGAGAAGTTTTTTTTTTTTTTGATGAAAAAAATGATCTAAATCACTGAAATTTAAGACTTGACTAATTGTTCCATGTAATTATCAACGGTTGGAATTTATTCTACACCAAAATATTGAATATTTGGAGTAAAAAAATCCCAACAGATTTTTAGGGATTAAAAAAAAAAAGAAATAGGAAGACACGTGGAATAAAGATAAATCAAGCACGATGACTTTAAGTGTCAAGGAGTGATCATTTGAGACTCTTAGTCGGAAAAATAGTGCCTTCATCACGTGACTAATGTGTGACTTTACACATAAATAGCTAGCTCACATGTTTTTCCTTCATTTCCTCTTTTTTTGTCTCTATTTTTCTTGCATTCTTACAAATATTTCATCCTCCTTATACCGTGTAATATACGTAAAAGAGAATAAGTAGTCGCCAAGCAGTCTGGAAGTATCCAAGGACTTGCTGTGCCTTCAACTTTTAGTCCCTCGAGAGAATCTTATACAACTCTAAATGATGCATCATAATGACATGAGGTTTGAGAACATAGCAAGAAGTTCAAATATTTGGCATGAAATCTGAGACTCCATCAGTCATTCTTGAATTCCTTATGATGTTCAAGACAACTGTGAAATTATCTGTAATTTTAGAAAATAAATAAAGAGTTGTTGGTAATTAATGAAAGCTTTCTCCAAGCATGATGATCACCAATCAACACCTTAGAGTTTCTTTGTCTTTAATAAAAAAAATTCTCTATCAATCTAGACTTACTGATCAACAGAATGATTGAAAATGAAGAAATACATCAACTAATTTCCATAAATAATTCAATTATTGACAAATGAAATAAATAAATCTTCTTAAATAACTAAAAATAATTAAAATAATAAAAATATCAAATAATTCAGTTCTGGTTGTCAGAAATAAAATTCTTTCCAAGACCCGCTTTACTTTAAAGCCCACTCAAGTCAAATGAAAGAATGAATATATATAAAAAAACTACGTGAAGGAGGAAGAAGCACAAGATGAAGAAAGTTATAGAAAGAGGTTGAATGAATGAACGAAATGAGATGAACAGAAATGACTTGGGTATCCAGCAGACACCCACTCAATGGAATAAGAAATAAAATTGGTATGATGATTTCTGTGTCCGAGGATAGACACTTGAGTTACTGGTGTTGCTACGTCATCTTCGAGGCCACCATGCTTATGGTACAAGTGTCAAGAAGAAGACAACAATGCCACTGCATGATAAGCGAAAAATGATATCTTATTGAAAGAAAATTTTATTATAGAAGTTGAGGATACACAAAGAATACCTGAAAGAAAGAAGAGGAAAAATATGTATAAATAGAAACATTTAATAAATTACAATGTAACTAAAACAAAGGATATTTATGATTTGGTAGATTTGAGAATGAAGATAAATAAGAAAGAAAGACGTCATCAACTCTTATGTTGATCTTGGCTCGTACTTAGAATTGGAATTTTCGGGTAGATGGAAATATCGGCTAAAATAAATTGACTTGTCCAACATATTTTATGCAATGACACTCTAAAGAATTCATCAACACCATTGACAACACCCTGATATCATCATCATCATCGTCATAAAATGAAGAAACAAAAAAATCCATCCGTGGGAATAAGATTGATGTGAAGACTATTGCAAAAGAAAAAGCAGAACAAACTCGTTGAATGTTAAAGAATAATGTTCATAACAGTTCAGAATAGAATGACGAGGAAAGAGCATTCACCTGTCAACTTTTCATGAAATGCGTCGCCACTTAGTTGTCTTCTTTTTTTTCGTCTGCTTGTCTCGTGGCCCACTAGAAGCATCACGTTGCTCACCTACCAAAATATTACCTTACTCCTCCATTTGACTCTATTCTTCGCACCATGAAACAGCTTAATATAATCCTATTTAAAATGAGCACAATAGATACTCTCCCCGGGCCACCGAACGTGACGAAAATTATTTACTCGTTTATTTAATGTCACCCCAAAAATCTGACAGATAACTCGTCCAATCTCTGCTTTGTAAGATCATCAAAAGAAAAAAATTGGTAGACCTGAAATAAAAAAGAGTGTTTTCAAATTCTTCAATCATCATCTCGATTAGTGTGTATTAAAGACCAAGTGTGAATCAATTTTTTCAAATGAAATGCGTTAAATATATTGTCAGAGGAATTATTATAACTAAGATATTATATCTCAACCCCTATTTTCGCGCTCCACTGATCTGGAGATCAAAATATCATAAATCTTTAAGATCAACTAAACTCTTTGTCATTTTTCTTCTCTCATCATCTCAGTGTAATATTCTATGAGGTTGTATTTACCTGGTCTGTGTGTTATATCAATTGAATGTGAATGAAAATAAAAAAGAAATTAATCAAATGATTTAAAAATGGAGTCATTGAAAAAAATTTGTTTGATATTACAAGTGAATTCTATGAAACTACCCAAGCATTCTCAAGTTAGGTTCCTGTATCTCTTTCTGATGGAGGGTTGAAAAACACATGTGCCCAGCAATGGGGTGGGCTAGCACGTGTAATTTGAGATAACAGCCGGAACCGGATGCTCTATTTACGCAGGTCAAAGTGTCGTTTACGAGAAAAACTCTTAAATTTAAATCTTATTAACATGTTTTTATGATTAGTCATTTTTTCATTTCTGTTTTGATTTCTTCATTTAATTTATATCCCTTTTTTTTCTACTTCATTCTTGCAATCCTTTTTCTTTATGTTATAATCATTTCATCTGAAAATGTTTTTCTCACTAAATTGAATAAATCTAAATTATTTATAAAGTAATCATATAATATTTTATATAATAATTCATCATAATCATTAATATTTAATTTAATTAATTGTCTGTTTTTTTCTTCTTTCCATCATGCAGTTGATGAAAAAATAATTTTTAAAAGTAATTAATAAACTCTCTTTTATAATTGTATTGTTATATTCATTAAAAAAGAAGATTAAAATAAAGTATCTAAATATTTGAGACTCCAAAAATGTTTGAATCAAAAATTTTTTCCTTGATTTAAGTGTAATACTACTCAATTGAATTAAATAATTTTTAATTCATTAATAACAAAATATTATCTTAAATAAAATAAATAAATACTAGAATTAATTTTTTAAGAATTTGATTTAAAAAATTTTTAACACTAATTGATATCCTTTATCGTTCAAATCATCATTTTAATTTGTGATTAATCAATTTTTCTTTCACTAACCTTCTTTTTATGGAAACAAATATATTTTTGATTTTATTTGAAAAAATATTTACTTGTTACTAATTGAGCAGTAAAATGATTCAAGTATTTTTTCTGGATTGAATAATTTTTTTTTTCTTGTGTTTCCTGTAAAAAAAAACAATTAATTGTTTATTATCATAATAGGGATGACCCCTTTTTTAACTTTTAATGGAATAATTAATAAAAATTTTAGAGAATTACCTGATCTTTTATTTACATAATTAATCCTTATTAGTTCTTTTTCATCAAGATCCTTCTGTTATTTGACTTCTCAATATCTTGATTGGATGAAAAAATCCAAGCGACCGCAATTTCAGAGAATGATTGAAGCATACTTGAAAGCTGTACTGCCTACGTAAATATATTCTGGCATACTAAATCGCGATGCACGTGTCGTGTCATTTGAAATATATCTCAAGTGATCTCTCAAGATCGACGGATTCTTAAGCAGCAAAATAATTGACTGATACTCATGTCCTACTTCTTTCGTGAAGGACTAGCATTAGTCAAGAATTTTACTGCTTCTTGACAGGCTGATTTCTATCTTATTTCTATCATTCTTAAGCAACGTCTGATTTTTTTGAGCTTCAGCATTATGTTCCAGCATCACCATACATAAAGATCTCATTGTTGAGAATTTTATCTGCATAGACTTTCACAACTTTATTAAACTCACTTTATAATTCACGATTGTCAAGGTTGTTGTATGGATATTTATCACAAATCGCTGATTTATTATTTTCCTTTGAGAAAGTTCACGTTTAATATTGATAAAATACTTGATATGATTGAATTAGAAAATCTAACTCAAGTAAAGTCTACAGAAAATCTGCAGCCAATAAAAAATAGCAATCAATGATTGCTCCTTGACTCGATTAAACCCTTTGATCGCGAAAGTTTTTTATTAAACTTCATTTTTGTTAGGAAATCTTTGAAAGAAATATATCATGAATATGTATTGTTAATTTCAATAGACATTAGAGTTCACCAATCAACCGACTTATATGCGTACCAACCATTGATTTAATTTATGCACATTCTCGATCATTCGAGAACTCTATCGATAAACCCACATGGTACTCCTCCATTGTAGGATGATGAACAAATGATGTTTAAGTTCAAATATCTCAAAAACTAGGTCGAAATTTGAAAAAGTGAGGTGACCAAAATTTTTGTTAGACTTTAAAGAACAAATTAGTTCCTATGAAGTATATTCGAATTTCGCGTCTCTGAGAAGATATAAAATAAAATGTGCGGCTTTAGAGCAGCAAAAGTTTATTTGTTTGAATCAGCATATTTTGTTACATAAAAAATGCCTTGTTTCAAATAGTGTAATGAGTTTTGCAATTAAAATTGCACCAAGGATTGGTGCATCAGTAGAATTGCTGATATAAATGAGAAATTGTTGATTAAAATCAAGATAAAAAAATTATAATTAAAAGCTTGCTCCAATTTTTAGGATTGATATATTTTAAAAGTCATTCCTTGCCAATTGGAGCAAACTAAGTGACAAAAATTTTCCTAAATCTCTGCTATTCAAATTCTAGAAGATTGGTCTTTTATCTTTTTTTCACCTTGCTGTCATCATCTGTTCATTTTTCCCCAGAGATTACTGGCATATTTTTATTTTTCCCAAGACCACCACCATACATATGTACCAGGAAAATGTTCTGGTGGCATAGATTGTCAATATGGATTATAAACATGAAAAAGAACCAGTCTACTTAGTACTTACCTTTTGTCTGTTTTTTCCATAATTCGTTTTATTCTGCCGATGAGTTTTAACAAAATTCGGTGACGAAGTGACTTAGACCACCCGCATCCGTCGTTTAAAGGATTATCTTACAAGGTCGCATTATGTCAAAACATAGGCTGAGTATTCTCGAATACCTTGACTCTTTTTACAGGCTGCAAGACACAACCTAGACAACAGAAATATATAATTAAGTGCTGAGCTGGTACTTTTTACTGGTACTTATCTTTGTAACTTCATCGTAATTTTACTTCAAACATTCTAGCCTAGACTTTAAATTGTTTCCATGAAAATAACTGGTTTCCTTGACCTGTATTTTCCATCCTGTATCCCAAAATCTTTGTCAATATTTAAATATTGGATTAATTTTGATCCAAGAACTTGATTTTATCAGTGTAATAATTTCTTTCTTTCACCAATAAAATTTAAAATATCAGAAAAAAAACTCTTTATTATTTTAATTAACTTTTAATTAAGTCATGATGAATATGTGTATGATTAATCGAAAAATAAAGTAACTATTGAAGATAACGAAAATCAATAAAAATAAAAAACATAAATGTGTTGATGATAAATAAATGTAAACCCTTGTCAGAACTTTAACAGACGCCGTTACCATAATGGCCGTTCAATACAAAAGAATTTCCCGCCATATTTATCTTAGCCACCCTCCACCCCTCTCACTTCTTGATAGGGACTATGCGTTTACTTCTATCTGGGGAATGATGGCCTCGTATTCAGGGGAAAGCACATTTACCTTACGTTATATTATGAGTATAAAAGTCCCGTCTGTTAACTGACAGCAATGGCTACCGTTACCAAGTATGATGAGGAACGAAAAGTGAGCAAAAAAAAAACACGTTTATAAGGTGTGTGACTGCCAGACTCGATCGACGTCCTTATTTTTTTCTTATTTAAACCCTTACATCACTTAAATAAATAAATGACTGTCAACTGTTCATTGAAAAACTCTAGATTGTTCCAAAAGGATTTTGGTAGAATTTTTTTTTATTAGCGAAGCATGCTTCTGAGCTATAATAACAATTTTTTCAATTATTCATAAGTTGGTAGGGTAAATAAATATTTGATAATAAAAAAAAACAGTAGCGTGTCGAGGAAAATGATAAATATGTTTATGATATACTTGATGAAAAAAAAATTATTCAAGATGTTATTAATTGTAAATAAATTTTCATTATCATCAACAATGATTAATAACATCTAACCTTTTATTTACTCTTGTATTATTTAAACTAATGATTGGCAAAAAAAAAAAATTATTAATTAATCATAACTCGATTACTAAGGAATTGTTAATCAGCAAATAAAAATTATTAATTAATAATTAATAATTAATTGATACTTTTGGAAAATAAAATGATCGATTAATAAAGTAATTTGTAATTTTAATACTCAAATAATCAATTACAGAAAGAATTTTTAATTTAATGAATCAAATTGCTAATTAACAAAGTAATTGATATTTTTACTTTCCAAATTATCCATTAAAAAATTAATTAATAATTTTGCCTGATAATACTAGAAAAAAATTACTATAAAATTCAGGGTAATTTTTACTATACATTTCTCTGCGTGTAGTGCGTGCTACAATTTTAGTATATAAGTACACTTACTGACTATTAATTACACGTTCGATCTCTGTTCGATTTGATGAACATACTTGCCATCTCCTTGTTAATAAATTAATCTTCAGTAACTTTTTAATTAATTCCGAAAACAAAAAATAAATTTTTATCAATAAATAAATCTAAAAAAAAATCATTGATAAATAATTAACAACAATAAATGAACAATAAATTTGAATTAAAAATATTTTGATAAAACACTAGAAGTTTTTTTTATTTCATGGAATAAATGCTAAAATTAAAAAATTAATTAAAACCCCTCAAAATGATTGGACTGTAATATCTACAAATATCTTGGGCACGAGACGTAAATACCAAACATTTGAGTAATATATTGCTGTCAAAGAAAATGACCATCTAGCACTTTTCCTGAAAGGCATCAAATAAAACCCTGATATTTAGCAACTCTCTGTTTTTTCAAGCACTGGGACTTCCTTCATGCTGTCATCAGAGGGACTATATCCCCTCTTGTTGGTATGCCACAACTGGTGCCATGCTGTCTACTGCAACTATTTTAGTGCGCGACACCCATATTTCCGTAATTTTTTTCTCTCCCTTCGCAACTCTAGTCTCTAGTCCAAGTACGAAAAAACGTAAGAAAAAGAGGCCAGACCTCTAGGGGTAAAAATTCCCTAGAATAGGAATCAGAATTGAGAGAACAGGCCTGAGAATTCTTGGAAAGAAAGAGTTAAAATTTAAAGAGCGCACAAGAATGAAGGCAGTAGAAGGATCGATAGGATGAGTTTCTTTGTTTGGTCTGAAAACAACTGGAGGGTGATGGAACGTGTGGCGTTAAATCAAATTGAATATTACAGTGTCCTTTATCGTTTTATGACAACTGATTCTTTAAGAAAATTTAATTAATCCATCAAATGTATTTACCTCTCATATAAAAACATATATTCTTACTGTTATATCAATCATAGAATTTTTCTAATGATAAGAAAAAAAAAAGTTAAGAGGAAAAAAAAAGTAATATTTGATGACATAAACCAGGTGGCATAATTAAAATTAGCCACGACTTCAAGCTAAACGGCCGCTTACATTTATCCATCCACGGTTCTTTGATGGGTCTTTCCTAAGAACAAGAAGCCAAGAACACCCCGTATATCTTAAGCGCATTCAGTTTACGCATATCCGTTGTCGCTGTCTTTTGATGTCACCACTATCGACCTCTATACACGCCCAGATCGTTCTTTCCATGTATCCTTCGCGTGAAATCCTATTTCCGCTTCCTTTTCTGAACTCTAATCATAATATACTCCACTGAGAATCATTTTCATGCACCCGGTGCAGTATATTGATGCAAGTGCATTAATCAATTTTTTACTTCTATGTTAATTTTAATAAAAAAATTCACCTTCTTCCTTATCTAGTGTTTTAATAAAAATAAAAAATTAATCATTTTATAATAAAGTCTTGAAAATATTTAATTCTTTGGTTTTAATCACATTTTTAAACAGAAATTTCTTTCATTTTCTAGAAACCATTCTATCCAAATAATTTCCATATTAAACTCTTTGCAAATAAAATTCTGAGCGACGTGAAAAAATATTTTGATAATTTAATTATGAAGTAGAAAAATATTTTTTTGTTATTTTTAGCATACTATTCTATTATTGAGGTAAAATACATTCAGATGTACCTTTAAACTTGCCCTAATCCCTAGCAAAAACTTCGTCAGTCCATAATAGAGTATTGCAATTTAAACAAAAAAATAAATGGACCATGGTATGTGGTGATGTTTAGGTTATTTATAATTACTTATAACTAATCCATAGCTATCGATAATGACCAACAAAGAAAATTTTAATTCAATTTAATGAGTTTGGGAAAATCCAATCGTACCGTCAGATTAACTGGTGGCGCCTCTTTTTACTACTAAAATTAATATCTAAGATAATCTGTTTTAAACACGGGTACCAACTTAGACCAGGCTACTGATGACCAAACGTCTTTTAACATTACAATACATATTGCCCTAGAGTCGCACGCGTATTTGGCCACAGATGCGAATATCCGGGTTTCCGGGGTTCATGCACGTATAAGCCAAATGATGAATGGAAAAATCCTTTAAACTTGAGAGGAGTTTTCAACCTTGCTCTTCTTATTTATACCAAAAGATGCGATGAGATGCGGCAACTCACAACGCTTCTTTTGCTATAGAGCCTACTGTATTTTAAATCTTTCCAGATGCCAAGAGGTCTACTGTAAGCCGAAACAAATGTTATGGGATAATAAACGTTGGTACATTCGAATTAGTATAGTCCGAATTTCTTCATGAACTATAATAATTATTACACTGAATATCAATTTATTGTTGTACAAACTATCCCGTACTCTTTAGGTTAACTGTCTCATTAGATACATCCCGTTCTTCTGGCACATAAATTGCTGCGAACATTCTTTGTTGTTAATTACTTAATTAGAAATGCCAAATTTATGGAATTGGCTCGAATACTACGTTATCAGCTTGTGATAAGAAAACAGCTAATGCAGTATGGTAATTCGTAAAATACCATTCTTATATTTTAGATGATTCTTGAAAAATTTTTTAAATATTAATTAATAAATTTATTATATATAAAATAAAAAAAACTTTTATAAATAGTCATTGTAAATATTCGTTTTAAATGGAACATTAACTCATCATTGCTAATCAAGATCCAAGGAATACAGAACATATCAACAATAAAATTTGAATGTGTAGGGGTTGTAAGGGAAAATATTCCGAAAAATATCTACCCTCACTACTGCGCTTGCTCGAATTGTTACCCGTGTGTCTCTTAAAAGCGCCGAGCAAAGATCCGATAGTTCAATGATACATCGATTTATTAATTAATTATAATGGTCATGACCTAAGAAATTTATCAAAAACTGAAATTTTTCTTTTTACTGATGCATATATTTTTATTAAAGATCTTTTTTTTTAATTTATCGATTTTAATTGAATTTAGTCACGGCGTTCTTAAGAGCACATAAGGTTTGTATTTTTTAATGGTTGAGAGTGGGGGACAGTCTTCGCACATATTGAGAAGAAGGCGTTCTTACCAGAACTCTACTGTACTATTTTATTATTAAATAATGAATGTTATCTTCTTTAAATCTTCCATTTGAATCTATTTTCGAGTTAATTTTTTCACTTCTACAATCAATTGACTGTTCTTTAAACGTTCCTCTTCTAATTCTCGAGCAAATTTATCTCTATCGAGAAATAAATTATGGTATTTAGCAAAAAAATTATCAATTTCTTCATTTAAATTGGTTGACCAAGTTTTTGGTTGTTATGTTGATTGTGTCATGACACTGAATTTCTTTTCAAACCGAAGAAAAAAATTAATTGTAAATATTGTTAATTATTAGATTTAAATACTTGGCGTTTAATGATTCTAGTACTTTTTGTCGTACAATTTATGCTTGGTGCACGAGGTACTACTGTATCTCTTAATCCAAGCTATCTGGTATTGCAATAATACTTTAAATAATTTCTACAACTATCAATTTTTTCAGTTTAGTACATTTTTTAAATTAAGGAAAACAATTTAACGAAATTTGCAATATAATGAATTTATTTTAAAACATGACAAATGCCTTTGACCGAGAGAGAATATTAATTCTCACTTTTGAAAGGCAAATACAAAACATTCAGTCATCAATAAGCAATTATTTTTAAAAAAAAGAGGTAAATAATTTTTCAAGTTCAGTAATTGTTTTTTGAAATTTGTAACACGAGAACATTTTCAACAAAAATAAATGTAATAATATGAGAGTTCGATGTGCGAATAATCTGTTGATAAAAAACAAAAATACATTATTCAAAAATATTTTTCGAGATAAATTTTATTTGATCTTGAAAAATTGGAAAATTTTGTTATGATACTGATAAGATGTATATAGGATATGTGTGTATTTGTAATTATTCTTTTGTATTGTTTGACAAATTTATGGTTAAATTATGCTACTGGTTATTTTCTACCTGTTGTTATGCGCCAAGGTCGTGAAGAAAACCACAATATTGATTGAAAAAATATACGAAATCTGGCGTCGCACAGGTCGGGGATAAGAAGCTAACAACAATGTTTTTATTTAGTCTGGCATGAAAATGTTCCAACATTTAAATTTATTACATTGTGAGTGAATCGATTACTTTTTAATTGGATGTTACTATCTAATATTATTTTTGTTTGAAATTACGTCTCTAAAAATATCAAACACAAATTTTGATAAACTGATAAACACGTTGTCAACTTATGAATTAACAGAAAATTAAATGAACTTGAAAATCAACTACTATTCACCAGATAATATTTACAATACTTTTCTAAAACTTTATCATAAATTTATTGAATCAATAAAATAATATTTAAAATAAATAAAACTATTTTAATTTTTTTTTATTGAATCAATAAAATACTATTTGAAATAAATGAAACTTTTTTTATTTTTTTTCATTGATATTTTTAAATTTAGAATCAAATAATAAATGAAAATACTTTATCTTAAAATGACTAATATTCTAAATTAAAAAATGTATATGCAACGAAAAAATTTAGAAAACCTGCTATAGCTGTCTCTGGTATAGTAGAAATAATCAACAGATACGCAGTCGATAAAATACTAGCACTCGGGAAGCAACTACATAAATGATAAATTATCGACGATTGATAGATTCTTACTTCAAACCTTTTTTATCGATTAAAATTCAAATTTAAAATTTTTACATCAAAATTTTTGTACTAAAAACGTTCAAAACAGCTAAATATGAAATTAATTATTGAATTAAATAATTAGTCGATGATAAAGTAATTAATTATCGAAGCATCATCTAATAAGAATATTTGTTTCCTCATTCATAATTATTTTAATAATTTTTTTGAAGCATTTGGGAATAAATCTATGAAAACATAACAAAATTAATCCTGCCAACCGATATTATGAATTATTTTTCATTTATTTTTAAATATTTATTATATTTTTCTACCAATAAAAAAGCAAAAAAGGTATTAAAAAAAATATAATTACACATCATTAAAAATAATAGAATTTTGATAAAATCAAGTAATCTCTATTTCTACTGGGGTAAACGGCATTCAAAAAACGATCGTCAAGATTTTACGATGCCATTAAATCTTACAAGATGGCTGCAGCTGGTGTATGACATTTTTACACCAACATATTCACAAATAGTAATTGAATGCAATGATAAAGCTATACAAAAATCATCATACTATCAATCTTCTTCAAACCACAACTACTTTCCAAAATTCAAACGAACGACAAATATGTTACATAAAAATCTCATTTTTCTCCAATACATTTCAAAGAAATAATCCATAAACCTGAGTGATAAAATGAATGACACTAGGGAGACAATACAAATCTAAAATATAAAAATGAAATACAAACAAGAAAGCATCGACGAAGTGAGTTTAAGGTCGATGGAAACGATTCAAACATTGCGGTCCTGTTAAGTAAATTGTTTACATCTTTCTACGTCTTCTCTGTACGAGAGTAAAATTACTAGCGACCACCGACGCATCCCAGACGCTAATCTTTCGAAATACCAGGGGTCGCATGCATCCTCTCATATATATAAAGGTATTTATAAAACCCCCATTTTCTATACTAAAATAATATAAGTAAATTCACGTATCTATACCTTCATCTAACATTTATTCATAATTAACTATCTATTTATATCACTTACAAGTCTCAAGTAGTGATTATTTTCTCTTAAATTTTGGTAATATTTTCATTAATATGTAAACAAAGACTGCTGAGACTCGTTTGTCCTGTCATCAGCTACTGAAAAAGTATCCTTATTCAAAAAAAAATAACAGAAGCAGGGTGGTCGACAGATTCAAGTGCTAAAATACCCAAGATTATCAGCAAGATATTGTACAAGTGTACATCATTTTAAGTAGACACACCCTTAATATTAATCTAAATGATGGTAGCTAATATATTTAAATACTCCAAGATGTTTATTTTTGCAGATGCTTATTTTTTAGATAAAAAATTAACAGCTTATACTACTAATTTTCTGATTAAAAAATTTTTTACTTCTAGTTTTTTTTTATTCATTGTTTTTCAATGCAGAAGGAAATTCATTTTTAAACATCAGACCTTAATAAACAGGAGATTTTGGTCTTGATTAGCTCTTTACATAACCAAAAATATTTTTCAATTTGTTCATAATTATTTTTTGCTTCACAATTTACTGACTTTAAAAAATTGATTATAATTAAAAAAATATTTTGAATTAAAAGTGCTTACAACTAAATAAATCTCTTCTAATAATTCAACAGCTCATAGGAAACCAAATCTGCTCATACGAAACTTGGATAATCCAAAATAGCAGCACCCAAATGTTCTTTCATCAGATCCAGATATTTTCTTCAACTCTGAATCATTGGACAAAATTATTCAACCAGGTAAATTGAAATCATTTTCTTTTGTAATCAAAAAAAAATATTTATACTAAAAATTGAGATTTTAAAAATAAAAAAGCTGAATCAATTAAACTTGCATGATTAGCTTTAGCTAATGAAGAGAAGAAAAGCATTGTTTCTATTGCTGAATTAAAATTAATCCAAGGAAAAATTTTACAGGATAAAATACAACTCTATAAGGCTTGTAACAGACGTACGATCAGTGGTATAAAATTACGGTATCATGTAAACAACAAGCCTCGTCGGTACGTCTGATGGCAGCTTGGGTGGGCTACGGTTCCCTTGCAAGATATGTAGAAATACTAGCGAACAGCTCGTCACGTGCTAACCAGAGGCACTATAACGTACATTATTTCTTCGTTTTTATGCCTAAAGAGTTGAAATTAAAAAATTTAACGTTAATTAAATGAGTTCAGTTATTTTTTTATTGACTCTATTGATGTCAAACATCAACAGCTGATAGGATTACCTACACTCTAGGTTAAAATTATTAAAAATATCTAGAAGATCATAGATAAGTCAATAATGGCCATAGGAACTATTGAAACTTGACCAGTATATTTTCTTTGAAAATATAAATATAAAACAAAATTGGAGAAAAACAATTCTATACATGAAAACTTGATTTATTATGTTCGTTTTGTCAAGAGTGGGTCTAAAAAAGATAAAGGATCCAATGGTGCCTACTTAAAAACCCATTTATGAAGTAAAGTGATATGTATTGAAGAGATACCGACACCCCTGTAAGACCAGTGCTACACCAACATCACTTGAAATTGACAAATAATATTTGTTCTGCTTTGTGGAGGTTCAGCTTATCCAAAACATACATTCATAAATACTTCTTATTATGATAAATGTCATGATGGATTTTATGATTCCTCAAGACCATAAAATGGATGCAAGTTTCTTCAAAACAACTCAATGATTGTGGAATATAGCTTTTATCTTTGATCTTTGAATATATATAATGGCATTTGAGGTTAAGATGAATGAAGAGCAATCATCAGAGCCAAAGATGCAGTTGATGGAATTTTTATTTCATCACATCATTCGATTGGAAATTAAACAAACTTGAGATTTCGTCACCATGCTGTGTCACAGCTAAAGCAGACCTTTCAGAAGATTGAGAAGGATCCATGGGAATTATTGGTTTTAATTGATGACTATTTAAAATATGATTAATAACTGGAAAACATCCGTCTTGATTTGCAGAATCTAGATGTTGATATTATTTACATCACCTCTATAATCTTTTGATGTTTTCATCAACATCTTATTACGTGGTGAAAACTTGAGGAAATTATCACAGATAAGAGTTCAGTTCTCAAAGCAATACAAGGAAAAACTTTAGAATGTATAACAATTTTTAGATTTATTTAATGCTATATAATAATCCCATGGCTACAATTATCAATAAAGTCATAATTTTCTTGATGAAGAGATAATTAGGGAATATCGCAGTATCATTATGTCTACATACAATTTATCAAGGAAACAACTTTCAAAAGGTTGTTTTATGACACTTCACCGACAAGGATATCAAATATTTATCATCATATATATCAATTATTATGAAATAATGAGATTTAATAACATTCGTATCAATGGGTCCCATGGATCTTAAGGTATTTTGATGGAGATTAATTTTTCTCAAGATTTTTTTATACTGCATTAGAATTAAAAATCATTGGACTATTCAAAATCAAAGTTCACTGTTCAATTTATTTAAACCATTGATAATTGACTGTAAGACTAGCTTCTTTAATATTCATTTTGAAACAGTTCTTTATATGTTCATAAAAAGAAATTTTATACTGTTAATGCATTTGTAATAAATACTTTATCAAAAAAAACATCCAGTTTTATTGTATTGTTTCTAAAAAAAAAAAATTCTTAATAATAATTTTAACCTGAACTAATTAATTATTATTTTTATCATTATTGTATTAATTGTCGTTTCATTTAATAAAAATATTTAATAGAAAATTTTAGTTATATTTCAAAGGGCCCTGGGTCTTTTTTTGATACAGCTTTGGAATGATCAAAATACCTTGAGACATACAAAAGTATAAAATTACGCATTAAATTGTAAATATAATTTTAAGTGTGATAGAATAAAGCTTTAAGTCAATGATGTTTTATTAAACAAAATTATTTTAAATGTTGATAATTTTTAATTTTCTTTAATGAATGCAAAATATGTCAAATTGATAAAAGAAATCATTAGTTAATTTTTTCTATCATTTAAAAAATAGTAAATGTTTAGAAAAAACAGATTTCATTGGTTAATTCGGCAGTAAAAGCCGAAAATCTCACCATTCATGAATAAGAAACCGCCTCGAGGCGTGTTTAAACATCATCGCCACACCCCTCTTTCAATATGTGTATGTGTGTTTGAATCTTACTCTGATACTTCTTCTGATCTCTAGTCAAGCAAAACTGCGCGAAACACTCATACGCAGTAGATCCTTCCACTCGGTATGAGACAAAAAATCATTTTACAAATAAATTTTATAATTGATCCGGTGGATTACTGCAAACAGTTTATTCTATCTCAAGCTTTGTGTACATTATTTTATATATTGACCTAGCTCACTAATAAGTTTACTTTAATTATTTACACAAGAGTTTAAAAAAGATACTTGCTTGATAATATTTAATAACAACTATCCAAGTAGTAAATAAAAGTGAAAGATTTTAATTTAAAGATCCAATGAAACCTAAACAACAATAATGTTTCGAATTCTTTTAATTTGTTGACACTTAATCCAAGAAGTTTAAATAATACGAGTTGGTGCTAAAATGAAGAACGAAACTGAGCCTTCATTGCATTTGCAAGACCATCATTTGACAACACCAAGTTCACATGTGTCTAATGCCAGGAATCAATCAAGTGTAATATCAAGTTTACGTCAAAGTGATAGTATCCTAGGGACAAATTTAAGTTCAGAACCACCACGAAAATCAGGAGCACGAAGACAAGAGAAGCCTCCATATTCCTATATCGCTCTCATAGTGATGGCAATTCAATCAAGTCCAGACAAACGACTGACATTATCTGAAATTTATACATTTCTCCAGCAACGGTTTCAGTTCTTCCGAGGTGCTTATCAAGGTTGGAAAAATTCTGTGCGACATAATTTGAGTTTAAATGAGTGTTTTATAAAGTTACCAAAAGGTCTAGGGAGACCAGGAAAAGGTCATTACTGGACAATAGATCCAGCAAGTGAATTTATGTTTGAAGAAGGAAGTTTTCGACGACGACCAAGAGGATTTAGAAGAAAGTGTCAAGCTTTAAAACCGCAATATTCGCAATATTTCTCAGGAGCAGGTCCAGTAGGAGTTGGAACAAGTATCCAACCTTCAAGTTATGATAATTTAACAGCAGGAGTTGAATATCCTAATGGATATCAAAACCAGTATCAAAACTATCAAGATTATGCAATGTATGGACCATCTGCTGGATCTGTTGCCGACTGGAGTTATCCAGAAGCTTACAAAGCACCACCACCTATTGCAGAAGTGACTTATAAGACAACTGAAGTGACTTACAAGACTGGAGAGTCTTCTCTATACAGAAATAGCGAGCTTGCTTTCAAAAATGAACCTTATATTAGAAATCAAGATCAAGTTGTTGCTTACAGACCTAATGAAATGCCCTTTCAACATAAGGACCATCACCAACATCTCCAAACCCAAGATGTTCCTCCGTATAAGACAGAAAGTGAACATGATGGATTGGTTAATTGTAATTATAAAACTCCTACCAATCCTTTAACTCATCAAGGGAATCAATGTCTCCCTCAACATGCACAAGATTATTATTCTGGATATGGTCTTACCGGTAATGGAGGCAATGCTAATGTTACTGCTACGATGAGAAGTCTTCAGGGACAAACTGGATCATCCGGTGCTGTTGGGAATATTAGCTCTTCACATGAAGATTGCCAGAATTCTGCAACAGAACATGGTAAGTTTATTTTTATTCTTCAATTGAACTGGAATGTTATTTTCTTGTTTTATTCATTCATAATTCCAGTTGGGTTAAATTTTAATTGTTTATTGTTTTATTAAAAATAAATAATTAAGGTAGAAATTTTTTTCAATGAATACTGAATATTTTTTAAAACTTATCAAGTAAATATTCTTATAAATCTTCGACGTAAATTATTCAATCAATAAATAATAAATGTAGAATATTATTTTGAAGGAATTTATATATTGTCCCTTTAAATTTATGGATGATAAATTTCTTTATCTTCTTGGTTCGTCAAAGGATCCAGGACACAAAGTCAGGCCATCTGGAACTTTCATAGGCACTTTGAATTTTATGGGTTTCAAGCGCTAGTATAATTGAAGAGACACAAAGCCAGAAAACTGCATACTTTTACTTTTCTTGAAATTTCTGTCTGGTCTTGGAAAATCTCTTTTATCGAGAAAATGCATCTCGAGTATTTTTTTTTATCTTTTACCAACGTCTCCAGTTAAGTTCAAGTGTACTAAAATTGTTTGTTAATTCTTCGGGTCGTCGACTGGTTTCATCATTCTTCAACTATGTACTCCCCTCGGTTTAGGCTGTCGATCATAGCAACTGCAAATGTACCTAGAGACTTTCTACAATGAAACGGAAGAACGTCGTCTTCCCGACGGTATGACAGCCACTATTAGCTAACATGACAACCCCGTCACTCTACTAATATTTCAAGTTTATATTCACTTTTTTACTCACTTGTAATAACTTTATACTCATCAACTCAACACGTGTCTATTCAATTTTATGAAAAAAAAATTTTTTTTGCCGGGAAAAGTAATCATATTTTATTATTATTTAAACAATGAATTTTTCCAACAGCCAGTCATAGACTGACTTCTTCTATTTAATTGAGTAAATTATTATTAATATTTTTTTTAACACCAAATTAATTGGGAACACTTGGAAATAGTTTTTATTAGTCATCAAAGTCATCATCTCATTAGTTGAAATATATTTTTAATGATATTTTTTTTCTAATCAACCAATAAAATAATGCCAAATTTAATTATATTTAAATATAATTATTTATAGTGGTCAAGTGTATGATGCTCTTGCTTCTGCGTTTATATGACATAAATGTTTACAAGAGTGATAAACAAAATGGTTCTTTAATACACTTGGTTCAGGCACAAGTGTAGATTATAAAATTCATTGCTTATACAAAATAGAATTTGTCGATTTGTGAAATAAATGACTGTAATCTACAGTATAAATTTATTAAAGTATTATAAAGAAAAAATCCAAAAAGAAAAAAATCTAGCAGAAAAAAAAAATGAAAGTCAATTGACTGGAGCAATCATACCACCAACGTATCACATTTCCTTTCCTCCAGAGTCAAGTGTAAACGAGATCGAACTGCAGATGTGAAAATTCTTATCTTCCTTCTATATGCTTATATTCCGAATTATTTTGGGAGCTCTAAGAGTCGTGTATTGAACTAAACCCTTTTACATTAAATACAACAATGCACAAATGAACGAACGAGAAGAATAACGTTATTGTAAATTATCGATTTAAATAACTACAATTGTAACTTACACTCACATAACATCGAATTTCAGTCGATCTCGTTGTTTAATTCTGTCAGTTAACCAGGAACTTGAAAGAGTTTTTACTAGCAGACATTACGGTCACGCAAAAGACCACACATGAAGACATTTCAGACAAGTTAGTTGTCATATCGACATATAAAAAGGAAAAATTTATTCTTTTTTACTCTTTATGACTATTAATTGCTTCAAATTTATCAAAAAAAAATATATCTAATTGAATGACAGGTTAGCTATAACTCAAACAGTACCATATAATTGAAATGTTAATAAAATATAAAAATTGATGGTTAATAATTGTCAAATAAATTAAAATAATCTCAAATATCCACTGAACTTGAGCAAGTAAATAAGAAGACTTTAAAAAGTCCAAAAAATCTAGCTAAGGAGTTTGGTACTTGAAGAACATCTACTTGAGAGCAATAAGGTTCTTCGAACTTATCTCTACATTTTTTTACAACCATTCATTTACTTTTCCGCGTGTGGTCTGCTGATAAACTGACAAAAAATCGCTAGTTTTTACCTCAATCACATAATTTAATAATTCATAGCTTACTTTCACGAAACAAAAATAAATAAATGAAAATTATTTTTAAGTGTAGTAATATTAATAATAAAATATCTTTCAGGACTCAGAATTCAATCAACAACAAATGCAAGCTCCAATAGTTCTGGAGGATCTTTGGTGGAAAGAAAACCTTACATCGCTCATCCATCAAATTCATTAGCACTGAACTCTCTAAACTCCTTGAATTCACTCTCTTTAAGCAATTTAAGTGGATTAAGTATACCCGGGACAGTTTCTTCCAACGTTCACAGTAGTTCTACGCCTTCGAGTAATCTTTATTATGAACAAATAAAGTACCCAATATGAAGATTATCTGAAAATGTATTGATAAAAGATGAATACCTGTTACCATTCAATAAGTCAATGCCAAAGAAAAGGTTCATCTAAAACCTCACTAATGTAGTATTTATATTTAATGCATCATTGGCTATTGATACCTTTAAATAATTATTACTGAAACAAATTGTTAAGCTTTTAAAGTAGAGAATAAATGATACATTTGTTCAAATTTATCAGTTAATTAATGTAAGATTCAAAATGTGCAATTTAATTATCATGAAATTATTATCAGCTGAAAGCTATTTAATAAGAATATTGCCATTAAATTTACATGAATCTATGAAAAAATTGCTAGATATCTAAATTTGTTATTGAAAATAAATTCGTATTTAAAAAAAAAATGTCTTTGTTAATCTAGTCTTTATAAATACATGTTCAGCTATGTTTTAAAATACTTCTTGTCAAACTTTAAAGAATAGCCATGATTTTTTTTTTTAAATTTATTTTTTATGTTACGAAGACTTATATTGTGTATTCTCATAAGTTCAGATGAAGAATTGCAAACAACAATAAAATTTGAACATTATTGAGACAAGAAAAAATTAGGAGGCGTGATAAAGTGTATCAGGTCATCCTTTTTCATTTGTTTATGTAATAAATTAAACGTTTCATGATGCGATCCGCAACGGCTGAACGCATGTGGCGTACGTCGGCATACACGAAGCAGACATGATGCTACCACGTACTTTTTTTTATATTTTTCTATACTATTTTTTGCAACTAGTCTATTTTTTTTAAACTAATAATTTGTTTAAATTATGTGTGTGAAACCGTACTTATTTTAAAATCTTTTTTTCCATTGAATTGTGATTTTTTTTGATTAAAATTTGTATACATAGAATTTGAACCATTTTTTTTATTACTTATATGGATAAAAACAGCAGTTGGATGTGCCTTTCTTGCAGATTATTTTAGACTATCGACCAAGGTTTTTTTTTTTTTTTATAAAAAGTAATTTTACTTTAAAAACATTTGGTGAACTGAGTGAATAGAAAGTACGTCTCAAAATATAAATTACATACCGTGCAAACGGAGCCACTTAACGATATTGATGACAGCTCAACTTGCATTAAACTCTCTGGATTTTTATCCTAAAATAAAAAAATTTTTAGCTTAGGGAATTTATAGAATAATTATAAGTAATTAATAATTCAAAAACAACACATTACAAATAAAGAAAAATGATTAAGAGGGTAGTGAAAAAATACAAATGACTCAAAGGGTTGGTATTAAAACAATAAACGAAAGACAGCAAGATAACAGAGATGATTCTGAATAATCTGTGACTTATACTTTCCAGGCAGATTTAAAAAATAGAGGTAATAGATTAAAAGTTCAGAGAAAGAAAAACAGATAATAATAAATTCAAAAATTGAAAAATATTCCATTCGAAAGTGATTTTATTCTCTATTCTTCGAAAGAGAAATTTAAAAGCGATAAATCAAGATCCAAAAATGTCTGTGTTTATTTCTTAAGACTGAAATAAAGTAAGTACTGATACCAATTCCGGAAATTGGTTTAGTTTTTACTAATAAAATTTATTTTAAGATTTAAATCCCAACATTTAACTTCATAAAATTTGCTCAATCAGAAAAAATATTCTCATTTTTATAAATTGTCTTTTTTATATCTAAAAATAATTAGGTCATGTGCTTGGTCGCTTTAAATTTAGTCATTATCATATTATTGATAACAAAATAATTTTGTTATTATAATTGATAATGAAACCTGTCAGAATGTCGTACCAAGTTGGCAGACGGGTCGACGCCACTTGTAAATAATCTTTCAATGATTGTGTACAATTAGAGGTTCTCTTTACTACTGTATATTATTCTCCATTCTGTAGTAAACATTCGCACATTAAATATTTACGAAATACTCATTCGCGAATGGATGGATAGAAGCTTATCAATGAAAAATTATCAAATATTAACTGACTTTTTACCCTTACTTATAATCTAATTATTATTTCTCAATTAAACAACATTCAACCTTGCTCGATTATAAATATTTATGAACCCTCTAAGGTATTAATTTATCAAGCGCCATTAAATGATAACATTTTATTATTACATCTAATAAATTAAAACACAATACCTGAAAAATATATAAAGAAACAATTAAAATGATAAATTTTAACAATAATTAATTATAATGAGTGATATTTTAAGAGATGATGGATCAGATAAAATCAGATACACATACTAACCTGAAATTATCCTGTTAATTAATTATTGAATATTATTGAAAAGCAATGTAGTTGATAGGAAGAAATTATATCTGAGTATCTTATTTAACCAATAAGTTACAATGATAATATTGAAATATGTATATTTTTACGATTTAATCAAGGTATTTTTTATAAATATTGCGTTGCCGGTACGCTGATTGTTGAAACAATCATGAATAGACGCTACTACGATAATATTGAAAATATGATAATTTACATGAAATTTATTACAAATAATGTATCAAATTAACTTCTCAATATATATATTTCAAATATTCATCATAAAACATGAGAATCTAGGCATTTATTATGTAAATAAATCAATTTTTCACATTATTCATAAGAAGACGTGACGAGAATTTACAAACGCGTTCATATAAACAACAGTAACGCCATCTATAAGTTTGTGCGCATGCGTTATCATGTATTGGCTGTGCGCATATACTTCTGTCATCTGTAGTGGTTAAGCAGAAGGGTGACGAATACGATTTTTTTTTTTTTTATTGCACTCCAGCCCTAACAAGTAATAAAATATTAAAATTCGAAAGAAAAATTCTTAAATAATTGTTACAATAATTCTTCATGCAATACAGAATGTAAGTATTTGTGTGAATCATTTCGTATAATGACTAATATTTTATTATTTTACTGACAAATTATTGTTAGTCTTTGAAATAATTATTAAATAGTGTTCATGACTAACGATAATAATATTTAAATTATTCATGAAGTAAAAAAAAATTATATTTATATATTTTATGATTATCAGTTGATTTATTTTTTTTTTTTTCAAGCTCAACAAAATCATGGCCACTAAACCTATTTTAACTAAAACACAAGATGAAGATGTGTTGGAAGTCTTTTTGTACCCAAAATGTTGTTACACAATGAATCCTGATTCCATCACTGAAACATTGCTCAATGAAGAAATTAATAATTTCAATGAAATTATTCAAAAATACACTAAAGATTATATTTGGCATAGAGATTCACTTGTTCTTTATCCAAAAACAAAACAAGCTTTATTAATTGATCAAATGATCCAGGGTTCAAGTGCAACTCAAGGTAGGATAGATTTGTTTTATTTGAATAACTCAAAATCAATGACATAATTAATATATGAATATTTCAGAATCCTCGATCGTGCCATACATTTATGCATCCCTTCACTTTGATGAAGATGTTGGAGACGAATGGTTCGTAGTTTTCCTTGTCTTTACTCTCACCGAGTTGTTTAACGGATTAATTGCAAGACTTGTTGACTCAGATGGAGAGTTTTTACTTATTGAGACTGCTAATTATCTTCCTTCTTGGGCTGAACCAGAAACATGTCAAGACCGTGTATACATTTATGATGGACGGGTTCATGTAGTTCAAGATAAAAGAATTCCAATAATTGATCGATTAAAAAGAATTTCAGAAAATGCACAAAATTATCAAATGTCTAATGACGTACAAGGGACCATTAAAAAACGTATTGGTGTGTATCCCGATGAAATTGAAAAGAGGAAACATAAAGCTCGAGCATTTCTACCTGAAAAGGCTGCTTATATATTTAGTCAAGAGCCAGGATTAATTTCTGCTGCAATACGAATGATTGTTCATTCAGATTCACTTGAAAGAAAGGTAGAAAAAGGTACATACGTATTATAAAATTTAATTATTGAATTTACTGTATTATTTGAATATATTTTTATAGGTTTGTCGAGCTATGAAGTATTTCCCTCCTGAACAACGAGTAATGACGAATGTGATGATGACAAAGTGTTTGTACGCCATGGCATCTCACTGTCGATACACTGGAGATCCAAGAACTGGTTGGAATTTCCCACCAGCCACTAATCCCAAGTATAATGCATATATTCTTGGTATCAAAATAGCTTGTGGGCTTGAAATGTTAGTAGCTCGTGCAAATCAACAATTACAAAAAAATGATTCTGCCAGTAGTATAGATAGTGATCAATATCAACAATGGACAAAATATTATCGTTGCTTAGAAGCTAGTGGCTATTTTACAGGTACTTTGGAAGGGAGTAAAGAGCGTGAAAAATTAATTGCTTCTGCAAAAGAATATTTAATGTCTCATCCACTGTCAGCAACATCAGTGTCAAAAAAAGACGATGCTGTTGCTTTAAAAATTTTAGAAGCTTGGAAGAATGCAAAAACTGAAGACAATGAAACTCAAGATGAGAGTTCCTTAAGTCCTCCTGATGATGATAGTTGGTTAAATGTTGATCCAGCACAATTAGAAGCTATGCTTGGACAACATTGGGGGACAACTGGCAAAAATTCCAATAAAGAACCGTCGAATCTCAAGGATAAAATAAAAACATTTTTAAATAAATCAAGTAATATTGAAGGTGTTAAATTTTCTGGGTATGTAAATCAATAAATTATCTAAATCAATATACATAGGTATATATATTTATGTTAATTGAATTTAATTTAATTTTATCAGAGGAGAATCTCTCAATGATGATGATGACAATGATGAACATCAGGATATTGAAGATGGCAAAATAGACTTTGATCCGGATGTTTTTGATAATACGTTACGTGATATATTGGATTTAGTAGTGCCTGGAGGGGATGGAGAGTTTGATGGAAGTTCCGAAGGCTCGCTGGGTGGTGAAGAAGATGATGAGCAAGGTGGAGAGATGGATAAATATATGAAATTGTTAGATTCACAGTTAGGAATTGAATTAGTAAAGAATGATAAAAATTCTATTGAATCGAATTTACTTGAAAGTATGGAAGAAGAAGCGGGAGGTGCTGGGCCAGCAGGAAATATTATTGGTGGTCCGATACGACGTCTTATGCATTTACAACTCCAATCACCAACAACAGTTCCACCTGATCTTCAGAGTTAATATTTAACATAACAGCACTTTCAGCAATAGGAATATTCAATTATTCAAACACATCATTGAAGCATATGTACCTTAATCAGCAACACGAAATCAATCAGCTTCATGCAGCTATCACAACGCATTCTCATTGTTAACGCGAACAATCACTTAAAGTCACTGATAATTTTAGTATACTTAACATGTAAGAAACCCGTGCTGACTTTTTTGGGCATATTTTATTTTTTAAATAATAACAAAGTAACGACTATTTTTTATTATTTCATATGTTCTTGTATTATTGATTTTTTTTTAAATTAAAAATAAAAACAAACAATGATTAAAGTCTAGAATATCAGATGTAAATGTTACAAATCTATTGTGCTCTTCGTTCAATAGATGAAATATTCCATGATTTCAGTATAATAGATACAGTAAATACAATAATGTTCATTTAAAAGCACTTTTGAACCATTTCGGTGTATAACTTTTCATTCGATCCATATTTGATATAGTTATTGGTTCTTCAGTGCTACAACTTGGATTTCCATGATTTTCAATATTGTCTTCTACTTTTTCTTCCATTTTTACATTAGCATTTAAATCATTAGGAGTCATCGGGTTTTTTGGGGTTTCACTTATTCTAATGGACAAAAAATCATTTTCTAATAATCAATAAAAGCAATTATATAATAATCAACTGAGATTTTAAATCATTATCAGTAATATTCAAAAACTTACCTTGATGCCATAGCTTGCAGTGTAGCATGCTTAGGGTCAACAAGTTTAGATTGTAATTCAGGTTTAAGTTCAGAAGCTCCAGAGTAATAAATTATAGCTGATGGCACGAGATTTTCTTCAATTAATCGACACTGAGGCGTTAAATTTTTTCTGGGAGGTGTACAATCTAATAAAAAATTGAAAAGTATTATTACTGGTATGCTATGCAATGTTGAATATTTAAAAACATGTAATGCCAGACGTACATAGAGTGAAGTCTTGATCAGAGTTGACTAAATATTTTTTTACAAAATCTTTCACTGCTTCAACTGTTTCAAGAGGACCGAAAACACCTTGTAAAACCATTTGATTCGGGAATTGTATTCTTAAAATAGTCCGCCGATATTTATGAAGTTTACTCAAAGTTGATGTATTACGATCCAATTCTCGTTGGGTATTCGTAGTGAGAGGTGCATTTTCTAATTGTTCTCTTTGACGTTTTGCATCACGAATCAAAGCTTTTGCGTCATCCACCGTTAGATCGAAAAAGCTGTCTGGAAGATCTTCATGAGCTATAGCTTGAGCTCCAGCTTGATTAAAAACTAAGGCGTTTCTTTCATCCATCTATATTAATTAATAATAAATATAGAATCTTGAATAAATTGTGGGTAGTTTCATTGAAATCATTACTTACAAAATTAATTTGTTCTTCAATTTTTTCATCTTTTGATTCAATCACTTTATCCTCCACAAGCTCAGTACTAGCTTGAGGTGGTTTTGATTCAGACTGTCGAGATGGACCTTGAGCTGTTAATGTTGATTCAGATTTACTATCACCTTTACCCAGTACATAACCACCACCGGGCATCTTCTTACGAGAATTTCCTCCGTTATTTGTTTTACGTGTATTATTTTTTTCCATACGTAACAACGCAACGGGATCAAGAGACTTTTTTATTTGACTCGCTATCGCGGTACCTTTTTTAATTAAATTATTTTCTTTACTTTTCTGATTAGATTTTGGATTAAGTTGACCTGCTACGTGAGCTTGCGTAGTTAATTTTTCTGGATCTCGATGAAGTAATCGTAACATGCCACGCCCATTATTAAGACCCAAGGATTGTAAGGTTGTATTATCTAAATTTTCTTTCCCATGAATCTAAAAACAGATTTATATTTAATAAATATCAGTTAATAGCACACGCTATACGAGTCTTACTTCTTGATGCATGTAGATAAGAACAGTGTCAGCAGAATCTTCAGCAGGACACAAATTAGATATAATTTCAGAAAGACTTGAATCTGAAGGGAAATCACCCATCAACCTTTGTCCATTTTCTAGCTGTATTCCAACTGTCACAACTGATGCCTGTCTTTCAGCTGTTCTTGGAGTCATTTCCAATTGTGCATTATTGGGTAATGCTGTAAAGCGAATTATCGAACTAACATCTAGAACTCGATTGAAATGCCTGGAAAAACAAAACGTACAATGTAAATTGATGATGAATAGAATGGTATGATAATTTTTAATTAAAATAACTTCAATACTCACTTCAAGTCCCACTTTTTGGAGCTATATCCTTGTTTTTGACAAACTTCTTCCAAAACCTGAAGAAAATCGTTCATTTATTTATAATTGAAATTATAAAATCAGAGATACTTAAATTAAATTAAAAAAAAAGTCTATTTACATTGACAATGTTTTCATTTGGATAAGTATCAAGTGTGAAGGTTGTCTTGACAAGTTTCGAATAATTGTCATCAGTAATGATTATTTTTTATTGTAGATTTGAATTATTAAAATCATAAAATAAGTAATTGTATATTTGTTACCTGTAAAATTGTTGTATTTGGCGTGATTTTAACATTTTGATGTCGACCATTGGGTGCAATCACGGTGACACTTTTACTTGCCGCCATGACAGACAATTTTGCGGAATTACTGTCTGATATGAGCGGATTAAATTGGGGGGCGAAGGGGTATGTGTGTGGAGGAGTAGATAAAACAGTAATCTAGTATATCAACGCAGCCAATCCACATTCCAGTGAGTCCATCTGTGTGAACCTCATTCGTTTCTGTTGAAAGTTGCTTCAGTCTTGCATAAAATGAAATAATATCATTCAGGAACCAACTGCATTTTATTACATATAATAATCAACAGGTAAACAATTATTCTTGATGTTAATTTAAACGTACAAAATATCTTTTGAGGTAGGATTGTTTTTGTTTATTTAACCTTTCTGAATGATGAAAAAGGAAATTCATCCAGCACTAGCGGCATGTTTTCTCCAAATAACCTCTCATCTTGGAAATTTTATTCGCATTTATTTATTTGTAAATAATTACAGATAATATTTGTACTATGGGCTCTGAGGATATGCCACCTGTGGACTTCAACAAAGACGTGAAAAAATTATCATTTGTGCAACGGCATTTCATTGATAAAATTAATAAATTCAACGTTACAAGAGTTGCTGAGCTACGCGTAACAAATAAACGAGCCAACATTCTTGGATGTGGTCTTGGTCTTTTTGCTGCTTCTATATATGTATATACTATGTATGCTGTCCGTCAAGAAACATTCTTAGATGATTTTGAAGTTCCTGATGCCTACGTTTCACGCATCCAGCCATCGTAATTAGTAATATCAATCTGAAGATAAGTGTTTGAAGCAAAATATCAGCATCAACTTTGTACTACTTTTACTTATTTACATAGTATCTATAATAAATTATTTAAAAAATGGCTGCAGTTGTTCCGAAAATCAGATTTCCACCACTTCCATCAGTTCCGGATTTACTGAAGCTGTATCGTCTTCGAGCAAGGAAACAATTATCCCAAAATTTTCTGCTAAATGAAAGAATAACTAGGAGATTCGTTAATTCAGCTGGTAAATTGAAAGATGCTCATGTTATTGAAGTTGGGCCAGGACCAGGCCCAATAACACGTTCAATTATGAATAAATTTCCACAGAGAATTATCGTAGTGGAAAAAGACAAGAGATTCAAGCCAACTCTTGAAATGTTAGCTGAAAGCTTTGCAACTGTTGATAGAAAAATGACTATTGTCTTTAATGATATTAGAAAAGTCGATATGTCAGAGATGTTGGATGAGAGTTTGAAGGAAAATTGGGATGGTCGATGTCCTCGAATTTATGTACTTGGTAATTTACCATTTAGTGTTTCTACACCTTTAATTATTCAATGGCTCAGAGATATTTCAAAACGTAATAACGTTTGGAAGATGGGAAGAGCACGATTGTGTTTAACATTTCAAAAAGAAGTGGCTGAACGAATTGTTGCAAACGTTCGTAATCGTCAACGCTGTCGATTATCAGTTATGGCTCAAGCTTGGACCAATCCGACATATTGTTTTACTATTCGAGGAGTTTCTTTTATTCCCAAACCTGAAGTAGATGTTGGTGTTGTCCGAATGGAACCTCTTGTCAAACCTAGAACTAGTCATGATTTTGACTTATTTGAAAAAATCACTCGACATGTTTTTTGCTTTCGCCAGAAACATGTTATATTTTGTCTCAGGTATTTATTGTCCTTTCTTTTTATTTTAAATAACGTTTACGTTTAAAAGAGAAATTAAAGATTTATTTTTTCGGTTTCAGAACATTATTTCCGCCTTATATTAAAGACGATTTAGCTTTGCTGATGTTGAATTTAGCAGACTTAGATCCTGGTATGAGATCATTCGAGCTCAGTGTTGAAGATATTGATAGACTATGTACTGCTTATAAATACGTAATTGAAAAACATCCAGAGTTGAAAGATTATAATTATCGAGCATCACGTAAAATTTTATCGAAAAATTACACACAAAACATTGAAGTAAGTGAGTTTCCTGATGATGAAGAAGATGAAGAAGAATTCTCTGATGAATTAGAGGACATAAAATACTTAGTAAGTGGTTTAGAAGAATCGGCAGATAATAATTTGAAAAGCACTTGAATTTCAAAGATTATAAAGTAAGTTCATTACAATATATACTTATTTACAATAATTTCATGGTTAATTGTAGTATACAATATAATTGTAATGAGTTTGGTTTATGAATATGAACCCGTTATAAAAATACTGTATAAATATTTTAAATAGAAATGATTAAAATTACAATTGAAACTTCTTTATTACATTCATATAATTTAATATTCAATATTTTCAAAAGTGACATAAAAAAGATGTGCATATGATCTTGGCACAACTTAAAAAGTGTTATAATGCAAATATCTTCCATTTAAATATTTTAAGTAATTTATACACAGCTTATATTATTTCTACTCTCAATAAGATTTATCTGGAACATTTTATTTAGAAAAAAAGTGTTTTTAAAAAACCCAATACACCGATCAATATCACAGCTACTCAATCTTTTTTTTTTAAATGGTTAACAATTTTTTTCAATTTAAATAAAACCTTACATCTAAATATATTATATATTATGTGCGTAATATTACAATACAATCAATCGGATATCACTTACGTTGAATTATTAAGTACAACGTTGATGATTTTAAATGTGTATTATTTATAAAATCATTCAAATTAATGTACGTATAGTTGTGTAGGAACTTTCATCTCTACAATTATTGTCGTTAAATAATGTATTAAACATCGGAGGAAACCAAATCTTCGAATAAAGCTTTATTTGGTTATCAATTTATTGATAGAAGTCAATTCTTTAACTTCTAGTAACACCGCATATCATTATATTAGGCAGTGCTCCACGTCGTCTTCTCCAAGCGCCAAGAGATTGTGCATGAGCTTGAAGTGTTCTGCACCATCTCTTCGTTCTTGCACCATCTTCAGCCTAGAAATAAATAAATTTTTCAATGATTTGTTTTCAATAAATCAGATAGCTATAAAATTAGATATATTATAATTCATTATTACTTTAAAAATAAACGTTTCTTTTGATGAAAGCTCTTGGATTTCAAAATAATCCTCAAGGTCAGTTTCACAGCATACTATGCACTTATCCAAATATAGTGGTTCCTAAAAAAATAAGTATTGATTTAGTAAAAATCAATAAATTATAAAATTTCGTAAAAACAAAAACAAGTTTCTTTAGCCTTACTCGTAGAAGAGAGTATCGACCGATTTTTTCTTTCACAAGAAGAAGTGTTGCTTCTTTGATTCCAATCTGTCTTGGAAATAGAGAATCATCATTCGAATCCACGAATTCAGTATTAGGCTAAAAATAGAAATAAATTTGTGTAATAATTTATTTTAAACGATCTAAAAATTTATAAACAGATACTTGAAAATTCTTTTGTCACACAAAGCTACAGGTGAACGTGATATTTACCTTTCCATTAGTAACCAACATCGCAGTAACAGGTGCAAGTTTGACTGTCCTTCCTCTGCGCCAGTTATTATCGGTTGGCTGAGCAACTAAAAGACGTCCTTCTAATACAAATCGTGCTTCTTCATGTGCCCATTCAAGCACTTCAACAGCCATCTGTGCATTAAATAGAAAATATATTTTTTTTAAATATCAATATCACAATTTATACAGCTTTTTTTTTCTCAAACTTACCTTTCTAAGTTTGATGTTTACCATGTCTTGTTCACCATTAGATCTTCTGCCATTCTGGATTATTGAAATCCTGCGCCAGAGTTTTGTTGATGTTACATCTTTGGCTTCCTGAAAAAAATATCATTATTCACTTGAATTATTGTTCTATTTATAAATAATAATAAATATTTACGGCATTCATATGTTCCAAATGTAGTTCGATATTTGTTTGAGCCTGTTCCAATCTCTTCCTCGCCTCCTGAACGTCAGGTCTTCCTGTTGGCGTTGCTTTTAGGAGACGAGCGAGTAATAAAGGATATTTGGTAACCCTTTGAACAGGTACCATAAGGAATGAATTTAAATTCATTCTTCGTAAAACAGTGTTCTCCATTTGAGACACTTTGAGAAATATTCTTAATAACTCTTTCTCTTTTTCTAGATTCTGAAGAAGCAAACTAGCACTACCCTGACGTGTACAATAACTCTCGAAGGCATGAAGCATTCTCTCAGACTCTAAGAAAATTTTTCCCACGTCTACAGTGACAAGATCTTCATCACCAGATTCCTATTATCAATTCAGAAAAAAATGTGAGATAATTTTAGTATAATGAATACCTTCGTACTGTCTTAATGAATATAATTATTATCAACTTACTTGACTTAGTTCTACAGCGTCTTTTAATTTTTCCGCAAGAACTAAATTATGCTCCAAGAGCTCTTCGACATTTAGAAAGATAGCTGACAGCTGATCTGGAGTTAAAAGTCCAGCTCTAAGCATAGGTCGATGAAATTCTTCTAATATTATTCTCAAATCTCTACCATATTTTTGCTCTGTTTCCACAATCTCTGTAATTATTTCTTTACGTTCAGCTCTCTTTTTTGAACATTTTCGACAGACAAATGGGGCATAAACTACACCACTGGAACAAAAAGAATTATTCTAATTAATTTTTTTTTCCTTTTAAAATCAACTTTCAAATACAATTATCGGTAATGATAAATACTTTCTCAATTAATCAACTGATAAGTTCAATCTAACGAACAAATATTTATGATTACGTTCAGGTTGTACAACTAACAAGTAGATGACAAAAAATAGTATTGAAAATTTTTTTTTTGTTTATTTAATGAAAAATAACATATTTTATTGCAATTGCCTTAGATAAATGACACATATCACGTCTTGAAACACTTTCACCTACTATCAATTCAGTTTAAGGCAAAAAGCGAAAGCGTCGTTATCGAATGCTCGATTTAACTTCAATTTCTTGTCGTCCATGTCGCGAATAATTAAGCAGCCCGCGACACGCGAAGGAAAAATTGGCATTTACTGAGGAGAATTTTACTGTATTAAACGTACACCAATCTGCATGTCGATTGGTACAGCTGCCTTTCTATCATGAATATGAAAGTAAACCGGAAAAGCAAGCAAAGCTAATAAGAACTTGCTTTAATTTTAAAAAAGTCTTTTGATCTATAGTGATCCTATTTGAACTTATCAAATATTTCAATAATCATTGATTCTTATGATTTCTAATATCCAAAAATGTGATAATAAAGTCCAATGAAATTGAGTTCACTGAGAGAAAGCTTTGATATACATTTTTGTAAAATAATGAAGCTATATTAGAACAGTGATACATAGTAATTAACCATGAATTTTTAACCCTCATTTAATAATTGTTAATAAAATAAAATGATACTTTATTCCATTTTAACTGTGATCTAGAAATTGATATTTTTCTCAGTATACTCCAATAGGTTTTGCCATTATTATTGATACAGTTTAAAATGATGAAATTTCTAATAGTTGTAATGATGAAAATATTTCATAAATTAATTATTATAAACGAGAGTGATGTTTTTAAATGTATGATGAGAGACAAGTTCTCCACAGATGTACCTTGCGCAATGATAAAAGTGTGCCAGCAACAGCTACCTGCTTTAGAAAAATATTCGAACAACATTCTCCATGAAGATCGAGGCCACGGAAATTGATCTTTCAGATTATTGTATACGCACGAATGAATTATTTATATTTACCTGTCGGTGATTAGAGGCTCGAGATGTTGCTCGCAATCTTCACAGAGTTTCGCATCGCCGGATATGACCTGAGGGATTCCACTGAGGAGACTGCCCGGTCCGGAGGAGGAGGAGAAAGAAGCATTTCCGGTTCGCCATCGTCTTACAACGCCGCGGCTACTACTCGCTTGACTGCTCTCTGATCCAACACCACTGTCTGTTCTCTCAATATCCACAGCCCGTGTCTACAATTCAAGTAAATGTATTTTTTATCTTACATGTCACTCTAAGTAACAGCACATTTTTTTTTCTTACCTTTGATGTCTCAGTGGAATTGGTTAGAATTATGTTGCATTCTTCACTACTATCAGATACATTCGATATTTGTGAGCTCTTTGAGCTTAAATCACCTATACTTGTTTCTTTTTGCTCATATAGAGCCTCGAGATCACCTTCAGTATCTTCTTCATCGTCGTCTTGAACTTCATCTTCTTCGATAGGCACTGGTATATCTTTTGAGTCCATTAGAAAATTTAAAAGTTCAAATTTCTTTGATAAATTTCCATCTGATGATGATGGAGGCTTTTGGAAAAATGTATCAGGACTTTTAGATAAATAAGAATCATTGAGATCTTCTAGATTTGCTTTTTTGAAGACATCTTCTGATAAATAAGAACCTAAATATTGACCTGAGTTGACTTTTTTATAATAAGATTCTTTGTAATCCTCCGGGAAGTATATTCTGCCTTTGATGTAGTCTTCAGTGGGTGGTGGACTTAATGGTAGTGGAGGTGGTTCATCAGGAATTTCTTCATATATTGGTTCTTTGATAACTTCATAAGGATTTTCTTCTAAAAATAAATTCGTTGAGACAAAGTCGACATCGGAATTCATACTTGATGATCTAGAGAAACTTGGCTCGGGTTCTAGAGTAGATTCTGAACTTTCATACTCTTTACTCTTTAACAAACTTTGCTTGAGAATCCTTAAAATAGCTTCTCCACTACTTTCATCTAAAATTTCTCCATTTTCTCGTGCTTTTCTCAATGAATCTTCTAAAAGTTTTGATATCAGAGACTCTTTCGATAAAGTAGACCATCTGGATTGTTTCTCTTCTTTCAAATAGCATTCTTGATTGGTATTTAAGTCTGTTGTAAGTTTCTTCTTTTCATCATTAAACGTTATTTGTGGTTTCTTAGGATCTTTTTTACAAAGATTATTCTGTTTTTCTACATCATTTGATGGCATTCCTTCTCTATTCGATTCCAAAATAATATTAGACTTGTAATTTTCTAGAATAACCAATGTTCGATTTTCAGTTGAACTTTGGATTGTTGGTATCGTATTAGAGTTTACAGAAATTACTGTTGGATTACATATACTATCTTCACCACCAACACTTATTGTTACTTTATTGTCATTTAAATTAGTCTCAGTTTCAAGACTCTGGTCTCCGTTTATTAAAATTGAAGTTCTTCTAGCACCTCTAGGCGGATCATTACCACCTACTTGAAGTCGATGAACTGAAAATGAAGCCTTTGGTGATACGGTAATTTTACATACATTATTTTCTGGTTTCGTCATTATAATATCTGCCTTTGATGGATTAATAGACACAGCATTTCTCTCTGATAAATTCCAAGAGTTTTGTTCAACTTTCGATGTATTATTTTGTTCCTTTGATTTCTCTGACATCATAATATTATGATTAAATGGACCTGGATCACTTAGACGTTCTCTGGAAGATGATTTTGGCTTTCCAGGTGGTGGTGACCAACTAGTTGGTCTCATTTTTTTAAATTGTTCAACTGCATTATTTACAAAACAGTTTTTCACTTCTGATTCTCTTGGAGGTGGTTCAGCTTCTTTTTCTATTAGTTCAGATAATTTAGCTGGTGTTTCTTTCGCTATTTCGCCAGAATTTATAATTAATAATTTATTCTCTTCTATAATCATCTTATTAACATTTTGAATATCAACATTTTCATCATTCTGATTACTGAATTTGTTGCAAGTATCTTGTACGTCTTCTTTAGTGGAACGGCGTAGACTTAAACGCATTGTATCCAAGTATTGAACGCTAGCTGCTGAAATTTCCGGTTTTGCAATTGATCTATCACTCTGGCTTCTAGTTAAGTTTAATCGACGAGTTTGGTCTGTAACAAAATATAAATCAACTTTTGTATTTAAGTTATAAAATATTTGTGAGAACGGAAATCATAAGAACATGAGAAAAAAAAATCAGTGAAATAAAAATCCTGTGAGTTTAGTTTACGTGAAGTAAATTGCACATAAACAATTCAGATAAAAACGTATGATAATTTAAAACAATTCAAAATTATTAAAATAATTTATAAAACAATTTCTAATTATTACTTATATTTAACATTGACCCTAAATTAAAAAGTAAAAAACAACAATCAAATTATATCTTTGCACTGCATCAATATTATTGTAATTTCTATTTAAAAATTTCCTTCATGTACGTCCATAAATGAATACATTTTGAGGTGATTGTTTGGCATTTCAACAAATCCCAGAGTTCAGTCATTAAATCGACATTAGAAAGGTCGTGTCCTAGTTTTGTTTCTAATCTTCCAGTCTTAAAAATAACATATCTAACTCGAGATAATCAGTAAGAGCCACAAGTACTTTCTTCAACATCAAAACTTAGCAATATGTTTAGCAGAGTATTAATTTCCTGTGAGATTTTCAGACAACAAAACTTGGCATCTAGCAGATACCAATTGGATTATCTATTCGATCTGTTTTACAAGCAATTTTTTAACTTGAGAATAAATAGTATAAAACCGGCAAGTTGGAGAAAGTGCACTGGAGGCTCTAGGCTGCTGTCTTGTTGCATGATCGCGCAATTTATCGCACTACCCGTCGTGAAAACCACTTGTTTTTCCATACTCACTCTGACATAGTTCTAGATATCAATTAATGCTTTGTTAATTATCTGTAAATGATTAAAACTTTATTTTTGATTACATAAATAATTATTTTTTATCTAATCAAGTGTCAATTAAAATATTTTTCTCTATTAATTCTTACAACAGTGAATGATTAATGAAAAAAAAGTTGTAATGAAAGTTTTAATCAGATTTAATATTATTTTTACCGATGACAAATAACAGAATAATAACATTTATGATTATATAATAGTAATCATAAATTTTAATTTAAAAATAATAATAAATGAAATTTTTTTAATTGAATAATAAAATATTTTATTAGTGTGAACTTCAACGGTTCATAAATTTAGTTAATTAAAAGAAATGCTCTTTAAAATTTTTTCTGTAATCAATTCATGCGAAAACAATGTTTTATTTCAATTTTAAAGACGTTAAAAAAAAATTTAATACTGCAATAAAAAATATTAACTTGGTTTAGAATATAAGTTTTATTAGTATGCACATACTAGCTATTGAATCTTAATACGAGACATATAACCGGAAATATGATACACCGGAAGTATAACTTGTTCTCTTAGTCTTGCTTATTTTCTCTCTTGCATGCTAGAGATTAGCATTGATCACACAAGACAATAAAAAATGAAAAATTTTAATTATACAATTCAGAATAAGTTAAGTTAATGACAAGTGTCATATCACTTGTCAAGAAATTGCTCTTCTCTTCAGACTGGTTGGTATTGATATTCATGATGCGTTTATTCGATAAATGTACTTGACAATCCATATAAGGGTGCTACGCTCCTTTGTCTGGATCAATTCGTATCGTGTCTTTCCCACGCGTCCACTTTCGTACGACATTCAACTCATACAGGCCTTTCCATTTCGTTCACACTCACTGGAGCCATGGAGAAGAAAAAAGTCCAATAATTTTCATTTGTTGTGAAATAAGACATTAGATTTTGAAAAACAAACTCTATTGGGTAGCTTTATAAACATTATCAAAATAATTCTCAAACTTGTTTGTTTTATTGATGATCATTTTATTTGAAAGAAAAAATACTTGGATTCAATTCTAGCCATGACTGTATCTACGTCTCATTGGTCGTTTGCTACGTGATAACTCATTAAGAAAACGTGCTTCAGGGTCAACCAGATCCTTCAACCTTTCTTTCTTACACCCACGAGTCCTGTAAGTTGTGGACTAACGACGATATTGATACCAGAAGAATAAATTTTTTTAGCATTTATTCCAGGATGCTGACAAAGACTATAAAATAAAACCAGGAAATCAGTAAAAGTTGTTTTCAGTTTTCAAGATGAGAGTATAAAATGATAGATATAATTTGATGCAGTGAAATTATTTATCAACTAATATTAGAAAATATGCTAGCTCAATGTCCTGAACGAGAAATAACTCATAACCGTTATAAGTATGATGCATATCTTTGAGATCGCAAGCTGTTATCCTTGATTGTAATCCTTGCTATGCGATTTTTTCCATCGGGTTCAAGGATATCTCGATCGTAACTTGATATTATTAACGGTCTATTTGTCCTTTCTGACACTGACATCAACACGCAAAAGAATACAAAGGATTGATAGATATATAAATTGATAAAAGATAGTAAAAAATTGTAACAAAATTCACTTACCATCAGCCTTGAGAATTAATTTTTCATCATCTGGACTCACTAAAGTATCTTTCAACTCTTCAATTTCAATTTCCAAGTCAGTTTCGTCCTCAGGTCGCACATCAAACAATGCTTCTGCTGATTTCGTATCTTTCGCAAGCAAAGACTCGTTCTTCGTATTTATTTCTTTCTTCTTAGTAACATCCAGAGGCTTTTTATTTCTCACTGGAACCTCGGGTCTTTGTATAACTTTTTCAATTTTTTTCTCAATTAACTGAGAGTTTTTTGATTCAGGGACATTTTTTGCTTCATTAATGGACTGAGAGGAAATAATTGGAATTTTATTGAAACGTTTAGGCTCTTTGATGTTGGGAATTGTAATAAATTTAGGACGTTCTTTGATTTGTTCTTCAGGAATAATTGGTTTCTCTGGTTCTTCTTCTTTACAAGTATTTACAGAGATCTTACTTGGTCTTCTTATGTTGATAACTTCATCAGATTTTTCTGGAGCAAAAATAACATTATTGACATTAAAGAGAACATTTTTTCTCAATCCATCTGATTTTCCTCGTTTGAGAATGCTTTTGATGATTATTTTTGTTTCTTTCGGTCGTCGTGGAGGTCGTTTCGGTGAAACCTTTGGAATGGGAATTCTAGTAATGGGAATATCCTCCTCATCGGACATTTCTCGAGGTTCATTGAATACTCGGATTCTCTGACCACCAATCGCTGCTACTGCATTTCTATTGGGAAGACGTTCAATAGACTTGACTTTTGATGGATCAAAGAGACTTGATGATGGAACATCTTCAAGTTCAAGAGCATTATCAGATAAATCATCACTTAAATCATCTTCATCCTTGATATTTTTCTTCACTAATAAATACGGATTTACATTGCACTCTAAAATACTTTTCCTCGAGTCAAAACCATTAGAAGACGTATTGGAAATATCAACTTCTTCTTCATTTCTTCGAGTAACCTCATTATTTCTAGTTAAAGCAGAACCTGAAGATTCTTGCCATGTTCTAGGCTTCTTTGCTACTCTTACGACTCTTCCAATCACAGTTTTAGTGTCTTCTGTGGAATTCTCGTTCAACCAGTCATCACTAGAAGCTACAAGTGGTTTTCGCGAGAAATCATCAGTGTAATTTACTTCGGTGTCAAACCACTCAGATCTAGAAACACCACCATTATTTATATTTCGTTCTGTCTTTGTATTTCTCGCAACACTTTGACTTCGAGTATCACGTTGATTCGACTGACGATGCGGTGATATACTTCGGGCACGAACTCGTGGTTCTACCAAACGACTCCGTCGCATAACATCGTATGGATCATCTGTTGATGGTCTCAAGACACCTGGTACACACCGGAAATAATTATTTATCACATTATTAAGGTAAGTAATACTAAAATGATTCAATACTTTTATTTATTTCTATCATTCAGATCTGCAATGGTATTTAATTTCTCGAAAATTATATAAATCAATCAAAATTGCATAATGAATTAATATGAATTGAAAAGTTGAGTGAAAATTTCTTATCAATCAAGTATTAGAATAAATTTTCATTATTTTTATTATCATAATTGATAATGTAATTAAATGATATTAAATAACTGGTAGAAGTATGCATATTACATGGCATAATCGCGTGAACATTCTAGAAAATGTTAAAAATAGTTTATTACCAGCAAGACTAGGTCTAGCTCTCGCTGCGCTTCCTGAAATTCTGCAAGTTCCTCCTAGAGGAATCCCAGCAAGACGATGACCTCCACATTTACGGCAATTACCCAGCTTCCTCGTTGTCCCGCTCAGAAACTCAGGACATGAGCAAACGACAAGAATAGGTGCACCTGGTGGTGGAGGTGGTGGTGGAGTTAGAAACCCCCTTGGTTCTAAACCTGAGTGTGATGATCTCACTGTACCATAAAGCCATGGTTCTCCATAAAGCATCTGACGAGATAGCGCACTACTACCGCTTATCGTACTCCATCCAGACGTTTCATCTGATGTATGATGTTGACGCGACAGACCAAGTCTCACACTCCAAGATTTCTTGCTTTTGTTTAATGTCTCGTAACTCTGTAAACAGAATAATAAAATTTTTAGACTGAGAATGATGAATTAATTATATAAAAATAATCAAATAAACAGCGGAAACTCAATTGTTGGACTCTCACTTCCTCTCAAAAAATTCCATTTCTTGTGAAATGAAACTCTTGTTTGTCCTAAAAAACGCTTTTTTTGTGAATAAATATACGAAGCGTGTAAATACGAAAGTCATATACGTTTACAAATCTTTCAAGAGTATATTCATGGAGGGGAATTATTATAAACATTATTTAGCTACAGACATGGGATTTCATACGACTTGTAAAGTATTACTAGCGAGACCAAAGAGCCTCTTATACGATAGTCCATCATTATGAGAAACAGTCTACCAACTTTCAAGAATAATGTATCGCTTCTATACACACTTTATCTCATGTTCTACGTCGAGATGAAGAAAAAGAAGATACATAGTCAACGATAACAGGACATTTTTCTTTTTACATATACTATCTAGATAAATTATAATATCCTCAATTGCTGGTATTTTCCTTGGAGATAAAAATTGTCCAAGCAATGTGCAACTTTGAAGTTGTACGAGAATTGAGTCCAGCCATAGAATTCATTACACTTTGAAGTATGTCTTTTGACTTGAATAAATCATTTCATCAACCTAAAAACTTGATGAAATTTAATAGATGTTTTTCATTTAAATAATTGCATCATGGACTCTAGCCTTCAGTTGCAGCTGATGAAAAAAGTTAATTTACACTATCAATTTTTGATTGCAACAGCAACCAAAAAAAACATCAAGCAACCTTTTTAGCAAAGCCATCATTTTAATTGATTAAATTAAAAAGCAATTATTGACAAGGTTTTGATGATCAAAATTATTGTAAATTATGTAATGGAACAATTAGTAATTTAATGGGTTATAAAAGAAGTTGATGATAAAATTAATAATATTAATCCTAGAGTAGGCATCAAAGCAAAGAATGTGCATTCAATTTTAATATAATGAATATAATACATGCTAACACTGCATCCATAAAAAAAGTACTTAAATTCAATGAAAAGTAAAAATTAATAATAATTATTATTCTCACTATATTGCATTTCATTTCGAGTAATATAATAGGTCGATTTGAGTTCGTTAATCTCATAAACAACATCATCTTAATTAACAATATCTAACGTAGATAGAATGACATTCTATTTCTATCTCAAATGCGTTAATGACTTTTCTACATTCATCAGAGAACATTCACAGTGTCCATTTCTATGGCTGTAGTCACATAACGGCGTGCTCTACACCTGTATTATATGTCGACAGGTGTTGTGATTATTTACCAACGGACATCGAACTCACTGGAAATATTAAACCACACGTGGCATCGCTAGAAATTTTTTTTCCTTTTCAGAAAATTTCTTTTCCACACGCAATTTAGGTTAATCAATATGTATTACATATCAAGATTTGACAAAGGAAGATAATCATTATGTTACTTTCTCAACCGTAATCAAAGTTTCAAAAAATTTGGGACATTTTCGGACAGTTAATTACGTTAATTATTAATCTTGATGGACAAAGAAAGAAAAAGCAGTAGACTTTTACCGTAATTATTGATTAAAAAGTTTTTTTCACTCATTGTCGACCACAAGGTCGTTGGTGATTCGATTATTTTATTTTTATTCATCAAAATTCATCATTTGTTTTTTATTTTAGTCGATTTAATCTTTCTTTTTAGCTATACTACGCGACATGACCGGTGTCTCAATTAGGTTATAGGAAATCGCATACATAACCTCAAAAAAAAAAAAAAAAAAATTTTAATTGGGCATTATTTGTGTTGTGTCCGATTAAATTACCAATATGACAATGTTATTTTTCTACCTAAAAAAAAAAATTGTTACTCAAATTTGTTAATTAAAAAGGAAAGGCTGATGTGAATAATTTGTATAAATTGAACATAAAAATTAATGAATGCCAGGCAAAAAAAAATAAAGCTGGGATTATACTGCGTGACAAATAAAACTTTTTTTTCGTAGCATTCATTGCGATAAGTACCTCTTTCTTAATCACTTTGCATCTTTAATTAAAAAAATAACAAACAAATGCATGCAACACGTAACGTTATTTAATTATAATAAAATTAACTGGAACAAAAGTTATTAGAGAAAAAATATGTTATACCAATGTGGAATTGAATATCAAAGTTATGTAAAAATTTGCACTAAAGGCTGATGAATAATTAAAATATTTTCAATGCAACAGAACATCTGGCCATGCAGCAGTCTAGTGAGTAGCCATTTTGTATTTTTATAAAAATGTTTTCCAGATAGAGTTCTAATTAGGAGACATGTCTAAAAGTAAATTAATTATGTGGGGTTACACTAAAATAGTGAGTAATTTAATTAAGGCGACATTTGACGAATACAAGTTTGATTTAAAACGAAATATATAAACTAATAAGATAGCTCAACTGATGTAGGAGCCGTAACTGGAAGGTCTAGGGTTCGATTCTCGTTGTCGGTAAAAATTTTTTTTTACTTTATGTATTTAAAAATTAGAAAAATAGAGATTTCCTCTATTTAGGACTTTATTTTTATATCTGTTATATTATTTTTATTCATAATAATTTTAATTTATTTTTCAGTATTATTCGATCATTTAAACTTTACGAAAAAAATTAATTAAAAAAATTTTTTGTTTGTTTGCTTTGTATAGGATATATAAAAAGAATGCAAAAAAAAATTGAGCAAAAGCCTCATAAATGATATCGAACGAGTGCGTTAGAGTACAACGATCCTTTACGTGTTAATCGTGAAACCGGAAGTCCAGAAAGACCGCCCATTGTCCCAAGGTACACGCAGGTGAGACTGTCAGTTAATTCACAGCTCTGCGAAAGTTATACGCACGTGTTTTCAGTTAGTATGCTCTTCCTCAACTTCCTTTTGAAATGCACTACAGCTCTCAAGTAGTTGTAATCAAGGCGAAGACAAGAGAAAGCGACTAAATTCCGAAAGGTACAAAAAATTATTTTTCAAAACATTTTTATTATCATTATTTCCTTTCTCCAGGGTTTTTCTTTGTTTTTTTTTTTGGTTTATTACAAATGAATACAGAATGGAGTACAAAAATAAATCGAAGCAATCATTTTTGATAGGGAAAGTGGAACTCGGTTTCATTTCTAATTAATGCCTTGGGTACATTTCACACGATTAAATACGACACATAATATCCAATTTTCAATTAAATGTTTCAAACATTCATTTCAAGTACACCTGTTGTCAATATACATCTTGAGAAAGGAACTTTACTTGATTATTGTTCTCTCGGTACACTGGGCTTACTGATTACGTGGAACGTATTAGAATGTTACGAGCATCTTTATAAGCATGTTGGCTGTATTTATTTCCCGGGCAATGCCCAAGCATAACAGCTGATGAAACAGCTATGCGGGCGTCATTTGCAAGCATTAAATGAAGGAAAACCACGCGGAAGTTACTAAAAAGTTAATAACCAAAGTAAAAATAAAAAAGAAATCATCATCATCATCATCATCTACCTTATCTTTTTTATCATTAAATATTGCATTAACGTCATGGATAAATTGAAATCAACGAAAAAGAAGAATTTATTAATAGTTAAAAGTTACTTATGATGAAATAAGTTATCTAATGGAAAATATAAAATAATCGATAAAAATTTATTTACAACAAAAAAAAAGAAGGAAATCATTACAATTTTATGTTGAGTTAATTTTTAAAATATTTAACATCTCATTAAATCATTAATTTACTACTGTTTAGTGTCTTATTTTATAACGGTCAATTGATAAGTTCTCAATTAATAAAAATAAAATTGATAAATAAATAAACATTTTCCTGTTTAATTAATGCTTGAAAAAGATTTTTTTGAAATAGAAAAATTATTGGAAACTTAAAAAGACCCTTTTAGAGCACCGTTATGTCCTGTATCCTCTCCTGATATTCCATTTTCTTAATTAAATATATGAGTTGAGATAAGATTAGTATGTTGTTTTTGAAAAATACACGTTTATTTTTACAGCTATAACTACTATTTCACTTGAACAAAAGTATTTTTTATTTTAATAATGTATAATTTAAATGAAAAAAAAATTATTTTCTTCAAAATAATTCCTCATGTACAATTGAGGAAATAAAAAAGAAGTACATCTTGTAAAAATATTTAAAATTAATTAACAATTCTGCTTTATTCAAGTCTCATTACTTTCAACAACTATATAAAATTCAATTAAATTATCTTTATATAACGTAAAATAATGACGCTTGTTCCACGCACGTCGTTCATTCATTGTAAAGAGTCCTTGTATAATATCCAAGGGTCATGATAATTACTCACAATACAACTGAAAACATTGTATACTTATACTTGTTATTTTGTTTTAAAACGATGTAACTTTCTTTGTCAAAAATATCTTATTAAAAACCAATTAATGCTAATTAATTAACTTTAATAAACAGCATATTAAATAAATTTCATTTTAAAAGATTAAAAATTTTTCAAGAACAAAATTTTTGGATCAGGACTCTAGGATTAAGTATCTTTGCTGATGTAACATTAGTCAGTGTTATTATTTGATATTAAAGTAATATTAATTTTAATTAAAACATCTTATTTGTCCTTCTCTTATATATTTCTTTTGTAGAAATATTATAAAACACCAAGGCGTGAATTTTACACTTGGAAAACTTGGACATCAACTATAGAAAGTCAACAATCAAGTAACCGAGACTCTTGTTATTCTGTGTAAGTCCTCCAAAGAACGTTTTAATTTCAAGAAACTTGTTTTATTTGTTATTGTGATGAATATAGATATACATGAAGACCGAGGGAATCTTGAATGTCACATGTTACACAAATAAGAACAAAGAAACTTAACAAGATATAAATATAATGACATATGTACATTTATATATTAGACTTGACTTTTATACCTGAGACTATATTCCTGTCTATGTAATCTACTTTCATTTTCGACATCAGTGTTGTCTACTTATAACAAACCATTGTCCATTTATAATAAAGTAACATCCTCAACATGTCAACATCAATGAAACGCCTTCCATTAAAAAAATATTACCACATTGGTAGATTAATTTTTTCCCGACGAATTTAATGAAAAGTTACAAGATAAATGTGATTTTAACAAAAAAATCTATTCTTAATTTCAACGATAGATCGTGTGTTCATTTAATTGTGCAATACAACTTCAACTTGCCAATTAATTGTTTAAAACAATCATGCACCATAACGAGCTCCGCTTTCACAAGAAATTATACTGATAAGTAATCAGATATTTCGTGATTCCATTGAGCTTTTCATTTAAAATCTTCATCAAATTAATCATGGTATTATTTTAAAGATGACTTGTTGATAATATTTGGGACTACTTGAAAATAATACGAATCACTTGAAATAGTAATCTAACTATTAATTATTATTTTATTATTTATTTAGAGTAAGAAGAAGTAACGAGAATTGTCATGTACACTTAAGGTTGCCATCTCAATGGATGCCAACCCTATCTACACCATGCCTTGGATGATAAATATTCCAGTTCTTCAAACAACGAGAGTTTGGAAAATCTATTAATTTAAAAAATACCTATATTTTTTGAAATAAATTTTGTAGGAATATTTTAATAAAGCTGTGATACCAGTTGATAGTTACGTGCAAACTTGAATGTAGGATAAAGAAATATTACCTTTGTGGGTGTTGGAGATGCAGAATTAGAGGTCGTACCCTGTTGAAGATATCTCTTAGATCCGAGCATTGCGGAGGGCGGTCCGAGGCTAGCCGGCCCAACAGCCACACTTGTCATGGTCATTCCCGTATGCTCTTGTGGTTTTTGTGGTTGTAATTATTCTTCTATCATTCGATTCAAGATACTCATTTGCATATTGCATACATAAAGCTGACACGTGACCAATCATCATCATCGCCGTTTCTGAAATTAATCAATTCAATTACTTTAATAAACCGTCTTTCTTTATTTAAATAATTTAACAAAATATAATTAAACAATTTAATGAATAACATCAAAGTAAATTTTTAATATGATAATAATATCTTGGTGAATTACTTTCAATTATCATGTTTAATTATATTTTAGAATAATTGAGAACAGATTTTCATCAGATTTAAAAGCAATAAAAGTTTATTAAGAATTTTATCAGATTAAAAAATAATTTTCCTCTGTAGATTAAGTGTGTGAAAACGCATCAAACGAGAATCTAATTTCAAATAAAAAAAATTAATGCATCATAAGTATAGGATAAGATGCAACGGAGAATAAAGATTTAAAAATCAGATCTTATCTAAAAACAAGAAAGTTGATTGTTTGCGCAAAAATCCGGTGATCAAGTTGCGTCACTACAATGGACTCATGACGCAATTTTTATTCAGTCAACAGTGTCTTTAAACAGTAAGACCAGAGATGGATAAAAAGATCAAGTATCCACTGAAAATATCATTACAACATCATCTTGATTTTAAAATATAAAATACTCGATTGGTCTGGACCTTTTGGGCGCCAGTCGTAGAAAGTTGTAATAATGTCAAACGCACCTTTTTGACCATAAAATTCAGTTGATTTACATTTTGATACCATCTAACACATCAGAATTATTACTATGTTCATCCTAGAGAAGGTTTATTCAGAGAAAACCAAAAATCACCGGATACATGAACGGAACGTGTTTTACATCAACTGATAATAAGTCTCTTTAACATGACTCGCGTGCTCATACGTGCAAGTCATCGATTATGAGCTGTCCAACTTTAGAATAATTACTTGCCGGATATTTTGCTCGATCTGCTCTTAGCATTTTCGATCAGTTGAACCTTGAAATTGATGGGTGATCAAAAACATTCATCCTAGTTTCAAATAAATCCAACCATTGGAGATTTAATTTTTTTTTTAAATCAGTTGCAATGATATAATTACAATAACTACTATAAATAGGTGAAACTAGAAGGGTCATTGAGACCGGAATAAATAAGAAGAAGTGACAAGTTGGACCTATATGAGCTTTAATCAGTCCCAGCTTAGTAGTCCAATCAAAAGAGCTTTACCATTTTGAGATAAGTAGCTGAAACCAACACTGAAATTTGGGTAAGTGCTTCCATAATAATAGTTCAATAATTCAGGCCTCTGAACCAATGGAAATGTTTGCAAAAAAATTGCAAAAAGATGGAAAAATGACTTTATCCCTCATATTTCTTCAACAGTTCAGAATATGAAAAAAAGTTTCAAATAAAAGTTTTAGAGAATTAAATTTTCTAAAAAAAAGGTTTCTAGACATTTTTTTGTATAACTCATAGTTTTTGCATAAAATCAGGATAATAATCATAAAAGCCTGTATTATCAGTTTAATAAATTAGTTTGTTGATTTGATAACATTTTTATTTCTTACAAATAAATCGATTTTATTCTTCTTCAAATAAAATTCAAGATCTCATTTAATATTAAAATGATCATGTTGAAATTTATTGAAGCTACGATGAGAAAAAAAGGTGCTATCGAAGATCATGTTATGTAATATATTATTTAAATAGCACTGTTTTATAATCCAGTAGCAGGTTAAAAATATGAAAAATACAATTATAAGCCTATGACATGTAAATGACGATAGATGGTTAGATAAGAAATAGCTGGAGTTAATTTGTAAGATAGCATAGTTGTGAGCATAAGCCACGACCATTTTTACTAAGAACGGGTTTTACATGAGGCTCGCAAAACCTAGCTATGAAGTTCTCTTAGTTCGTGTGTTCTGCCTCTCATCCATGTGGTTACGTCTGCTATGCTATTCTACTCGCATAAAGTTTGTTCGTCTTGAAGATTATTAACCCCATCACAAACGGAAACGAGTTTACCATGGATGTATACAGTGCATGTGTACGCAAGATCAGTGTGTGATTGCTAGGAGGTCGACGTTCTGATGTAATAAATTATTGTAAGATCGTAGGATCAACTGGAACATTAAATCACCATGATTTCGAATAGAATCTTAATTGCTAATACATCAAGAAGTGATCTAGTATTTTACATACTTAATGTCAGGATGGTTTTTAAATCCATTTGAACTAAAAGTAATTGATGGAGATGGAGAAATACAAACAAGAGATAAAAGCTGATGACAAAATGTAACAACCTCAGGATTCTTCTGAATCATCAGAATATTTTACTTCTTCAGTTGGATCCTTCTTCCAAGATTTAATTTGTCTATAAAAGAATCTAGGATTAATTAGAACATAATTGTTGGTATGTTTAGATGGAATCACTATTTAAATAACTGGTAATTATCCAGAAGTGAGATCCAAGTTTAATTTGATTGCTAAAAATTTTTAATCATTGAAAAACAGATTATTCCAATGAGCTTTTCTCAGAGCTTTTAACTTTGGTAAAGAATTAGAAGAAATTCTAGTGCTAGAAGACACTGGTTGTAATAAGAAATTTATGTGGTAGTGGGACAACTTCTTCTTGGTGTTTTACTTAGAACCAAGATAGAATCTTAACACAATTCCCCATGGAATAATTAACATAGGGTAGATATCAACTTTTAGGTACTCACAAAATACTTAGAAAGGTTTGATAAATAGTTGGTTTTGCTATTCATTCATGGAACTGTTTTTAACAATGGTATTGTCTAAATAAAAATTATTTCTTTTTATAAAACTATCTACTTTAATATAACTTGGTTAGAACACCTCTCTGATCAACTAAAGGAATAAAAAATTTCTCTTATTATAGAAGAATATATAACTGTCAATGAAGAATTAGAATTTCAATATTGGAATATTTTTAAATAAATATTTTTACAGTTTGTCCTTAAAAGATAAAACAAAGTAACTTACAAGACCTTTGGTTCATTGAAATGCCATTATAATTCTTATCAATTAAGATTTTTCAAATCATTCTTTTAAATGATTATTCGTGTATTATATTTGTCATAAAGTCTTATTAAAAAATTCTTCAATAATACCTAATATGAACAAAGAATTCCTATTATTTTATATAACAATAAACCACTCACAGTTATTTAATCCAAGCATAAATAACTGAAAATTTTATCCAACATTGATGGAAAAAAAAAAACTTATTTAAATCTATGACTGTTGATTTCTGATTTTTTTTTCCAACTCATACCAGCATTTGATAAAACTACTATTAAATAAAACGACAATACGAATCAACAAGAAAAATATTCATAATTATAAGTGAAACAGATAATAGATACCTATAAATGTCAAATACATAATTCAAAATGTTACTTGCAATGACAATCATGCTAACAATGAACTTTTCATATTTATAAGTAGAAAGTCAAAAGAAATCTATCGAATAATTAGAATTATATAATCTCTTAGTGCTGTTCATACAAATCTAAGTATTAAAAAAAAAGTAAAGCTATAAAAATTCAAATGATCAATATAACGAATGAGTCAAGATGTACACAGAATACAGTTACTTAAATACATTGTTATACTCAGAAACTTGATGTTTGAATTTTTCCCTTAGGCTCTTAGTAACTCTGGTTGTATTTCAACCAACAGTTCATCGACACACTGAATGAGAAAATAAGAGGTTGTATATATTGATACACAGACATATAAATTATGGATACATGAATTTAATGAAGAAATTATTATCATCACAAATCAGAATTTTACCTCATAAATTTATCAACAACACAACCAAGTCAGTAATAATATTCATGAATTACTATTATTTATAGCCATGAAAAATTCTTGATTAAAATCAGGTGGAAGAAGAACTGACCTCGTAAAATAGAATGGGGTTAAGATTGTTATGATCCTGAATGGGAAGGTCTTGGTAAAAATATATAAAAAATGATGGGTAGACATCATGACAGGATACGACAAGGTCACCAACGATCGATCTCAATATGTACTCAGAGTGTGGTAGCCAGTTAAACGACTTGGTAACGGTTTTTCTGAACAACGGTTACCCACTGAGACTGGGGTGTCAAGAATGACTTGATAAAATGTGGTAAAAGTTGAAAATTTATGACACAAGTTTGATCTTCTTTACCAAAGGAAATTCCATTAATTAACATGGTAACTGATAAGATATTAGTTTATTTCATTGGTGAGTTTAATAAAATAAAATATCCTTCATTGAAAAAAAAATAATTAATGTACATTCAGTTGATGACGTAATCATGTTGCTGTAAGTCTAGATGATAGAGCTGATTGTGTATGTAATTATTTTGACGAATACCATGTTGAGGCAAAAAAAGTGGATGAATAAGTTGTAATTAAAATGCAGGAATAAAATTAAAACGCAAAAGAATCAAGCTAACTCAGCGGGGAGTGACCCACTTACTATTAAAGATCTTGGGTCCAACCAGTATTGGGCCCAACCGGTCACTCTCTTCAATCCTAGGTCAGTGTGTATACTACCTTTATATGCTAAGCGTTCTCCTTTCTTCTACTCATCGTCATCACCTTTAACTAATGGACTAGACTTGTCTATGAGATTCTTCACTTCATCTCGAATTGGAGACTCAAAGAATTTCATTCTTGAATTTAGAAAAGTTTTGATACTCTAGTGTATTCACATTCTTGCTGGAGAGAGTAAGTAAATACCAGCTTTTTTTTTCTTTGGTTTTTAATCAAACTTTTTGTATGATTAATAATAAGATCAGAAATGGAAAATTTATTGAAGTTGAAAAAAAAAATAGTTGGAAGTGATAAATAATATGTGTTAATTTTTTTCTTGAGATTTTAAAAAAGAAATTTGTTGAATTAAAGAAAAGATAAATTTTTTAATAAAATGTAAATAAGCTATGGAAGTGTGAAAAAAAATTTTAATCACAGTATTAAAAGGTTTGATGATTAAATATAGTATTAAGTTGAACAGAAAGTTAAGAAATGAAAATGATTAAAGAAAAAAATACATCAGAATAAAAAAAATTAAAACAC